CGCTCAATCTGGTGAGAAGGTGATGCGATCAGAAAGGAGTATCCTTTGCCTTTGAGAGGTGCCTTTAAATTTGCTCGTTACTACATCACAGTCCATTACAATGCGGATGATAGTACTGAAAGAGAGAACCGCTCAATCTGGTGAGAAGGTGATGCGATCAGAAAGGAGTATCCTTTGCCTTTGAGAGGTGTCTAAATTTGCTCGTTACTACATCACAGTCCATTACAATGCGGATGATAGTACTGAAAGAGAGAAAGGATGGGCGTTAGTTTTTCTTATAAAGTTAATGTACAATTCAGAAAAAGGAATATATATTTTTATAGAAAAGATTTGAAAATACATTATTAAACAGTTTTTTTCCCCCCAAAGAAATGTCTAGAAGTTCTGATTCAGATTAAGTAAAAGCTAAATTTCATCCTGAAGGAGACTATTCTGGGAAGCCTAGTCCCGACCCACATCCCATATGGCCAAACAAGACAAACCAATGGCAGATCCGGGCGACTGGTCACCATCTATTGTAATCTCTTGTTTAGATATCTGTATCCCTCCCCTCAACTGACTGGGCTATGACTTCCTTATGTGTCTTGAGATCCCCAGCCCTTGGACCCATGCCTGACACATCCAAGGTACTCAGTAACTGTCTGTGGAATGGAGATATGGATAACTTGAGCCCCATTTACTTCCAAAACTTATTTGAGCAAAATCTATTTGAAGTTTTTGTTTACCACCAACTTCTTTGCTTTATAATGGATTTATTGAAATATAATTCACGAATCATACAATGCACCCATTTAAAGTATAAAATTCAGTGGTTTTTCATATTCACAAAGTTGTACAATTTAGATCTAATCTAATTTTAGAACATTGTCATTACCCCCAAAAGAAACGCTGTAACCATTAGCATTCGTCCCCCACTTCCTCCATCCCCCATCACAAACTTTAAAATCTAGTTCTGATGAGGAAAACCATGATGTTCCTGTTCCCAGGAGGGTCATATATTAAATAAAGTTAGATAAGTATCCTTTGAAGTCCAGAAGATCTCTAAAGGCCACTTGGCTTATGAGGCCCAGACTGTATCCTTCCATTACCTAGCATGGCCTCTGACCTCTAGTAGGTGCTCGATAGATAAACATGGCATTGCATGCTTGGCCACCTGCATGGGCTGTGTACGGATGTCTATTAAAAAGACATAATATTGGTGCCATATCTTAAAAAACAATGAACAGACAATACTATAAGTTATTGACCTGAGCTAGTGAGTAAAATATTTATTGAGTACTTCCTATACATTAGGCACATTTATTAACTTAAGTCCTCAAAACAACCTAGTGAACAAGATACTATCATTATTCCTCTGAGGTTAATAACATGCCCAGCTAGTATGTGGCAGAAGCAGGACTGGAACCTCCTCACAGAGCCTGCATTCAGAGCCCTTGTCCTCACAGCCTCTCACCCTTCGATAGGACACTGGCTCTGCAGCTCCCTCTTAAATCCCATCTACTGCTTACCCGTCTCCCTGTCTTTTTCACAAATGAAGTTGTTGACGTCTTCACACTGGAAATCGTTCCACTGCCCGGTATAAATCAACCCCGCACAATCTTCTCCTGGCCCATGGCCATGACCCCAGTTATCTGGCTGTCCAGCTTTCCAATTTCTTTCAACAAAACAGAAATTGAGTGTTATTTGCACAGTAACATGGATGTTTTGTTTAGTCAAGAGTGGCAGAGAAATGTAAAAAACAAAACTGAAGTGTTTCACTTGTCCTGGAGTGAAGATGCATTGTTTGAAAAGCAGCACATGCTCTCACTCAGAATAAGCAGCAGCTGTTTTGCAGAGTAATGTGTAATGCAGCATCTCCCTGCAGGCTTGTTATCTTTGCCACAGTGAAATCAACTCACTGAGCTTCTTCATCACTTCATGTTAGGGAGTCCTCCCTTGCCACAGTTAGACGAATGACTTTCTAATGTGTTCTGGAATGCTGCTGACTTCTGGGTGTGTATGTATATGTTATATGCGTGAATATATGTGCACTGTGAGGATGTCACACACACGTGTGCGTGCACACACGGTCCTGTGAGAACCTACAGGGATCCTTGTTCATATTTTGCCTTTAACAAGTCAAAGCGTCAAGAGGAGAAAGTGAGACACCCTTGATGTACATTTACAAGAGCCTACGGCTACAAACGACTGGTTATTGCTGGCTAAGTTGTAGAC